GCTTTCACACCAACTATTTACGCCGGAGCGGGGGCGGAGGAAGGGGAAAGCGGGGAGGGGGGGGAAGCGGGCCGGCGATTCGCTCTTTGTTTTCCGGTTTTGCGCTTTTTCGTTTCATTTTCGCTTTCACTTGGCCCGAACGGCCGAAAAACCAAAAGATTTTAATGCCATAAATTCATATTCCCATCATTCAATTGACAAATGGCCATATGTGGCCAGTGACATGGTTTCATCTCCTCCCCCCTCCCCCCTCCCGCCTGGCATCCAATCCAATCCAACCCAGTGCATCCCCCTCAGCCCGCTCAGCCCTTTCGCCTTGGTTTTTTTGTGCCATTGCTGCCATTGTTGTCGATGCTGTGTTATTGTTGATGCCACTGCTGCTGCAGCAGAGTTTTAACAGGATTTGCAATGCATTTTAACTGAATAATTGATAAAATTTTGACACAAAAGTTTATTTAAGTGCAGAGAGATGGCATAAACAAACCAAAACATGATAGTCTGCTCTTTCCTGGGACGATGCGACTAGGGGATACCTGCTATTCATATAATAATATTATATATCTGCATCGCAGGTGGTTAGTTCTGATGCACAGTTATTTGCAATCGACCTGTGATTCCTTTAAAAACTATCTTGTGAATACATGTTGCCCCGCAAACACAACAAGCTCGGAAAAGCGAAAATCAGAGGAGCAGCAAAGTGATGAGCGGGTCACAAGTGAAAAGATTAACTGCTCCGGCCAAATGGGAGTGGCCTGTGAGCTGTTATTAATTAATAAGAGAATAACGCAGGCTCGAAATGTTTTGTCTGAATCTCAGTCAACCAGTCAGTCAGTCAACCAGTCAGTTAGTCAGCCAGTCAGCCAGTCAGCCAGTCAGCCATCCATCTGACCGAGAGCAGAGCAAGCGGCATCGAAGCCAATTGCCGAGTCTGTCGGTGACGCACTGCCTGCAAATATGAAATACACAAAGTGCAATTGAAGTGGAATTATTCATGGGCTCTCGCTTCGGCAGAAGCAGTAGAAAAAGAGTGCCACCAGTGCCAGTGCCGCACCTTCAGCAGATGGCAATGTGATGATGTGATGATGATACTCCTACTTCGCGATGATTCCATACAGATTGTCCCTGGATTGTAAGCTGTTTGATTTTTGGTGCCCTTCGGCGTGTACCGGCTGTGCGGCAGGAAGAGCAACAGCAGGAACCGGAAGGAAGGTGGGACCACGCCATGATCCCAGATCCCGCAACGATGCACATTCAGATACTATACATTCAGATACTATACATTCAGATACCGACCGATGCGCTTTTGTGAAAGCGAAAACAATAACTTCGGATGGTTCCCGCTGGCAGAGAGTGACTAGTCGATGTGTAATGCCCAACAGAGTGCACCGACCTCTGCCTCAGATCTATTCTGGGTTCGCCTCTCTTCCTCTCCAGGTGAATTCCCAAAAAAAATTGGGGAAAATCGAGTTAAGAGCGACTCCTGCTTTCGTGTCCGGCGGCCATGATAATAAAACTGAAAACATTGCCCCATCAATTTTGGGTTTTAATCTGCGATGACACTCGCACGACACTTTCGCAGGCGGCACGATGGACGAGGGACGACGCCGCATTTAGTGGCTGGTTGGCTGATGGCTGTTAAAGCCAAATAGTTGGCCAATTAATTTTCCCTCCCACCGAACGCAGCGAACAATGAAATGAAACCATTCAATGAATTCAACTTGTCATATTTATGGCTATGTTTTGAACGGGCGATCAGTCTGTTTTTGGGGCAGGAGGGAGAGGGTTTTTCGCGGGGGCAGGGAGTTGTGGAGCCTTTTATCGACAGGGTGCATGCATCGAGATGCGAATGTTTGCCCAGCCAGCAACACACAGACACACAGACACTCTGCCACATGTGGATGGTAGGTAGACCCGGTTGCATTGTCGCATGCAAAGGGCTGCGATTGTGTGTGTGTGTGTGTGTGCGTACTTATGTCATATGCATGTTTGACTACTTAAAATTCAATTGGCTCTAAAATAAATGATTGCCAAATATGTGCGATGTGCGCTGTGCGGCTGCAGTGCTTCCAGTGCTGTTGTTGCTGTTGTTGCCTTGTTGTTGTTGTTGTTGCTGGCGGCACCCATTGTAACTAAGTGTCAATTGTCATGTGTCAAATTGTGGCATACAAATTAGGGTAATCAGAGTACAACAGCATGTTTGATTGCTTGCTTTATTTATGATTGTTTGCACAACTTCAAGCCACGACGGCCGCAAAATCGTGTATCCGGCCAGTCCAGTCCCGGCCAGTCCATTCGGCATAGGCCAGGTAAATACATGCCACATCCCACATGCGACACCCGACAAGCCCTTCCTTCCTTCCGCCAACCCAGACACAAGTGACACACAAGTGACGCACGACGCACGAGTCACGAGGCACGACTATTTGCCAGGCATCCGCATTCGCATTCGTTTGTATGAATTGTCATTGACATGGAGGCTCGGCCCTCGTGTCGGAATTGCTTTCCTAACCGCCCAATCAACTGGCCAGATTGCTCATTATATCTTTCGGAGCGCACTGCTGGTACGTGGTGAGCCGTGAGTCGTCGGTAAGTGAAAGCGCGCTGGCCGGACACTAATTACTTTTGGGGCATAGGAGTAGGGAGCCTCCGAGTGCCGCCTGCATCCAAATGGGATCCCTTAAGGAACCAACCACTTTTATACTTTCACACACAAGCCGAAAGCCTTGGCTCATTATTTTTCCAGCACGAACTGCTGGAGCTGCTGCCAAATTCAAGGGGCAAATCCAGTTGAAAGCAAGCTAAGATATTATAAATGCATAAAGAGGGGACGACGGAACAGTTGTTCCGGCCAGCCAAGGCTAGGAGCCCGTGTCCTCCTTCCGGAGCACAATTAACATGTGCGGCAACGCCTCTCTCTCTCTCTGTGTGTGTGGGTGTGTGTGTGTTTGTGGGTATGAGTATGTGCTTTGTGCCGCAGGACTTTGTGTGGGGTATGTGGACGTATTGGGCCGAGCGTCGCAACTTTAATTTTAACCAGGACCCCGGGACATCCCTCCTTGAAACGCATACACTATTGTGTGCTTGTATGTGTGTGTGTGTGTGTGTGTGCGGGGCAGCACCACAAAGGTCTTTGGGGCACACACGCCCATACACACTCTCCAGCAGCTGTAAAAAGTGGCCGCAGCTTCGAACAATACACAACGGCAAGCCGAAGTGGAAAGGCGTTGCAGGGGGTTTTTGCTCGCACTTCCAGCACCAAGTTGCGCCAAGCTGCGGCTCCTGTTTCTGCGAGTGCAGCGCGGCAAGGGCGACTTGATCTCCCGGAGCCAGATCCTTGGGGGAGCAATTGCCGGCGAAGTCCGCCTCTGCCTGACCCAACCAACCACCCCGTTCCCACTGCCTTCCCAAAAGGAAAGGATTGAGCAGCAGCTGCTGGCGAGGACAATTAGAAGGACCTGAGACCTGGACCCATAACGGCGGGAGTCCTCTTTATGTGGGCCAGCAGGCAAAAACAAGACAAAACGCCTCTGTGTGTGTGAGTGTGTGTGTGTGTGGGTGTGTGTGGCAGGCGGCAAATGCCGCTGCTAATGAAGGCGCAGAATTATGAACTTTGGCCAAAGATGAACACGTTTTTAATTTATAAATACGCATGGCTTCCGGCAAAGCGAGGCAATGAAAAGGGGTTTGGGATCTGAATTAAAATACCCTAGTATTTGGCAAAAATCCCCAAAAAATTTGCTTTAACCCTTTGCGGCACGGTGGAAAAAGGAAAATTCCATCTAGGTAACTATCATTCTTTTCAGTTTTCAAGTTTTTGTGACTTGACTTTTATAATTTTTTATTGAAATTTACTATATTAACATGTTGATCACTCGGTATTTTCACTTTTTAATCGAAAGATTTTAATGAGTTCGATAATATTAATAAACAAACCGTAAAAAAAGGTCCTTTTTGCAAAAAATATTTATTATCTTGAGAAGTTTTTGGCGGATTTATATGAAATTTTAGATATAAAGGCTTTTAATGTCGCTGATTAAGGATTTGTAATCAGATTTTGAAAAATGGCTGATCCCATATGGCGGAAGTAGTGAAGCCTATCTATATGATTACTATTTTGACATCAAATTTTCGAAACTTAGAATTACGCATCTAAGAAAGAAGAAGTAGAATATAGTAATTTTACAAAAAATGTATTAAAAAAAAATAAAAAAAAAAAAAAAATTTTTAAATGGATATAAAATTTGAAATCAGCGACCCCAAAAACATAAAAGGCAACTACCTCTATGAAAATAAGGATATCAGAAAAATGTGTGCTTGAAAGGCTTAAAAGTAATGTATTAGAAACAATGTAAAAGTAAGAATTAAAAAAAATATTTTTTCAAAAAAAGGAATAGTATCCTAACCAAAGTTAAAGGCAATTTTAAGATCTCTGCCTACCGATTTTCATGCTGCTTTTCTATTCTGGGCATATGGATCTCTGAACTGTTTGGAATCTCTGTGAAAACTTTAACCAGGATCTGCTGTGGTGCAGGGATGAAGACCTAATTTCCTGGAATTATTCTGAGGTCCTGGATCTTTTACAGCTCAGCCTTAGTTCAGTTGAACTGACTCAACCGCAGAGGAGCAGCAACACGTGTCCCCAGCCGACCACGTGTTGCATGCTCTCCCCAAAAAACGTAAACAAACCGCCCACTTGGAGGGCCGTGCCACTCGGTAACCACTCGAGTGGAGCCGAGCGAGGACGACTCCAGGCCGAGTGGGGAGCCACCGGCCACAGCCAACCGATGTTTGAGTGAAACTGCCTCGGCAGCGGCGTTCGGCGAAAGCTTTGCGAACCCGAATCCGCTTTTGCGAAGGCAAAATCCATAGCCACATCCACGGGGCAGCAGCAGCAGCGACCGAAATGAACTGAACTGAACTGAAACTGCGAAATGAAATGCCTGATATTCCGGCAAGTGATTCTGATTCTGGCCCGTCGTCAGTTGTTCTGCCAACGTGGACAAGAGCGGTACGCGAACGCGCAATCGGCAGCGCTCCCTCAAAGAAAGACACTTTTCTCAGACGAGAGTTTCCCCCGGTTCAAAAGAATTCTTTTCGAGTGCTGTTTTCTTTTTTTTTTTACTGTGTGTCTCTGCTCTTTGCTACGTGCTGTGCGGTTCTGAGTTGTGCGATAGTTTTCCATGGTTGCGCTGATTGGGAAATTGTGAAGGTCAGCGCGTCGACGCGATCGGACTCTCAGTTGAGTGTGTGTCGTAATCGGGCCAAGAGATCAATATCTGCTAGATATTCTGGATCAATATCTTTATAACTTAAGTGCAACAGTACGTACAAAATGATCTTGTTTAAACACTAAGTTTCTGTCAATCTGATAGCTTTTCATGTCCGATCAGGGAAAAGAACCAAAGGAAGCTATGTAGTTCTAAGTCCTAAATGAGCAATCCCAGACATTCTGGTGAACAGCTGGAAGGGTCGCATTAGTGCAGAAGGGAAAGAAAGGAAGGGGGTTACGCATGATTGGAATAAAAATGTCCTGCAGGCGGCAACAAGGACATAACAATATACATGCGACTACGTATACAACAATGACAACAAGTGTTGTCTGCCTCGGCTGCTCCTGCTGCTCCTTCTGCTGCTGCTGCCCCAAACGTACGAGCGCCATTAAGTGTGGCAACTACAACCACCTTTCGCACAAGACACAACATGAAATTGTTTCAAAATATGGAACTGCCGGGCCAAAGTCGGAGTTGGAGTACTCGTGTATTATGCCCAAAACCACGACTCCGACTGGGACAACGACTCAGCAAGGGTATTAGGGTGTCCTTTCCCGGGGAACGTGCCGTGGCACAGGCTGCTCGACCCTTTTCTGACCCAAACCCAAACCCAAACCACATATGCATATGGGTCTCGCAGCCATGTCTGCGTCCGTCCTTGTTGATAACTTAATAGCAGGACAATGCAATACTTTCCATTTACGAGTTCATTTCAGCTAACCGAAGGAGCGGGTCGCACGAGTGGCACCTGACTCCATCCACATCCAGCCCGGGCATTCCCGGATTCGAGTTCATCCGTGCAACTGCGACTGAAACTGCGACTGCGAGTGCAACTGCGGTTGCAAAAGCCGTCAGTGGCTGCGTCGTCGGCATAAGCCCATTTCGCCTTAAATTGCCCGCCGCCAGGGACTTTCGACTTTCGAGCAGCCTTCACATAAGTTGCCCTTTCCGAGTGCCAGTTGGCCCAGTCAATACGTTTATATTGCACATGATCTGCTGAGTCACTACTACTCACTACTTTATAGGTGAAGAACCGATAGAACTCTTCAACATCCTACTTCAACACTTTGTACTTCCTGTGTACGCACTGCGGGGCCAGTAATTTCCCCATGAATATCAACCATCTACTATACTCTATGTGCGGGGGAATCTGCATGCATGCTTGTGACAGAAGTCGCAATAAAGAGCCAGCAGCCGTAGCAGTAACAAAATTAAGTGAGCGGCAACTGTATGGGCAACTTTAGTGTAACGTGCCGCACGTGATGCTGTCCCAGGCGGAGTTTATATTGCACCTCGTCCCCGCCCGATCCGAGAGCAGTCATCAGGACGCGTGCTGAATGCCGTACTCCGTAGTCCGTAGTCCGTAGTCCGTAGTCCACCGACTGTTGGCAGACACTAAATCACCTTCAGCGATTCTCGGAGCACGATCCTTGGCCCTCATCCGGCTGCGAATCTGGAATCTGGAATCTGGCCGAGTATTCAGATTGCTGGCTAGTGGAAATTCAGTCTGCGAATTGCTACATCTGTTACATGCTTTCGACCTTCCTTTCCACTCTGCTCTTCCTGCTCCAAAATAAAATAAATGCTGTTCTCCCTGTTAATTGCTTAGCATCTGGGTCTCCTTGCTGATTACTCCAATTGAAAACATTTAATTCCTTTATGGCCGCTCCAGCTTCAGCACTTCCTTTTTTATGCAGCTAGAGTCGGAAAAACCCCAAACATTTCCTTTTGTAACTCCTCTGTGCGCTTTGTAGTTCGCAATTTAATTTAAATTCACTTTACCGACTTTACCGAACTCCCCGCAAACCTTTTTTCCAAAGGATTTCCATTGGGTTTTCCACCGCCAAGCGCCATTTGCCACGGATTTCAGTCGGAGCAAACCTTATCTGTTTTGATTTTCGATTTGGTGTGATCTGCACAACAAATCCCTAATTTGAATCGCCTCGACTACCCACTATATGGCCTACTATATGGCCCCTCGCCACTCAGAATGCACTGAAACGGGCCGTAAACAAATGAAGTAATTGCCGACGCAGACTGTATAAACATAATAATAATAAACATAAACAAATATCGGATATATTCACGGATCGGGGAGCGGGGGGCACTCGAGAGTGTGTGGCCACTGGCCAGGTGCGTGTGTGTTTATGGGGCACAGCCACGAGATGCCACGAGATGCGGTGACCAGAAGAGAATAGATCGTAAAATATATTTACGGGCTATTTGCTCAATGTGCAAACTATTCACTACATTATTCAGTATTCAGTATTCCAATTTTTGAACAGCCTTCGCCAAAGAGTGCTCCATGTACTTTCAAAACGAATATGAATAAAAATAAGTTGGCGCAACCGAATTAACTATACATTTATTTATACATTTTTATTGGGCGCGCACAGACTGTTTTTCATGGCTCATGAGCCACATGATTCTCAAGATGAGAGATCTACGGGCGGATGGACTGGCCAGAGAGTCCTAATTATAGGCATTATAGGTTCCAAAGAAGCGCGATCGGCGCTATTTGAAATGTGTGTCGCCACCAACTGCACTTTAAAGCCAAACAGCCGACAGCCAACCAGCCGACAGCCAAACAGCCACATTCAACTGATTGCCTTTGACATCGGCAGATTGGCTGGAAAATAATTTACTTGCAACTCTAGAATTACTTATTTATTTATTTACGAGCCTCACGAGCAAAAAGTCTATAATTTATTCATTTATGACTTTTTATTTTATTTATTATGATTTCTTTTGACAGAATGGTTTTATAAATACACCCAGTCTCCCGTGCAGCTCATGCATGTAAATGTGCCGCCCTCCGCCACTTCGGCTGCCACTCCTGCCACACTCCTGCCACACTCCTGCCACACTCCTGAACACACTCCCTGAACACACCCACTCTCACCTGCAGTTCGTAAATGTACGTAGCTGCAGGCATGCATAATTGAAGAGCTGCACGTGTGAAGTCGCCAACAGCTGACGCCACTAAAGTCATCAACTGGCGCATTTGTAGTTGCATTCTGCAGTCGGACTTTCCGCACTTTCCACCGGAGTTCCAGCAGAGCCAAGCTTGCAACTCCAGCAGCAGCGGCAGCAGCAACTGCTGCATATTTAAGTGCCACCGTGGCAAACGAGGACTCCACATAAAGCGGAGACAAACTCGCCCTTGCTGGCCAGATTAATGGTCACCAGTGCGGGGTCACCAGTGCGGGGTCACCAGTGCGCGGGGTCACCACTCCCAACTCCAGACAGGCGGCACATCTGTGCCACACATCGTAGACTAGTCTGCCTCTTGGCTTTAAAAGATTGATAGAACAGCTCGGCAATTAAATCCTCTTCCCTTTTCACAGAATAGAATACTCAAGCCACGTCAGAGATGAACAGTTCATGCCGCCATTAGCTGCCGAGCAGCCGGTGTGCAATGTTGGCTGCTGGCAGCAGTGAGATCGCCGATTTCGGGCCAACCTCGAGGCGCCTGCCAGCGACGGCCCCAGTCACTGGCACCACTGCCACCTCCAACTGCTCCGCCGACGAAGGCAGGCAGCAGCAGCGACTCTCCGTTGGCACAACGCCCAAGCGGCCCCACAAGGCGAGCCACCGAGCCACCGGACCGATGACAACCAGCGGCACGAGCGCCGCCTCAACGGGTGGCAACGGGAGCCACGGTGGTGCAGGAGGAGCTGCCAGGAGTGGTGCTGGTGGCGCCACCACTACGACAACGGTGACGGCGACGCCGGGCAAGGCCATGGTGAGCCACGGCCGCAGCCACAGCCACGCCCACTCGCGAGGGAGCGGACGCCATGCGGCAGCCGCTGCTGCCCAGCGGCCCAATGCCCAGAATGCCCACGGCGGACTCGTCGGCGGCATCGAGACGTACTTGGGCCTCATCGGCTGGCGGAAGAAGTGCCTGTACACGCTGCTCCTCCTCCTGATGCTGCTCATCATCACGAACCTGGTGCTCACCCTCTGGATCCTCAAAGTGATGGAGTTCTCCACGGTAATGGCAGTCAGCGGTTCCACTTACCCACTAACCATCCAATTGACCATCCGCTCTTAACGATTGCAGGAGGGCATGGGCCAGCTCAAAATCGTACCCGGTGGCATTCAGTTGTCGGGACAAGCGATAATTATGGACATGCTGCGCACATCGACAATCCGTTCGCGGCACGGCCAGCCCATCTCCATAGGTGAGTGTGCAAGTGTGTGTGTGTGTTAGTGTGAGTGTGAATTGCGATTCCGTGGGGCGCCTCTGGCGATATCGAGCGATTAGGTGCGGACACACAGCAGCTGCCCCTCCATTATTGTCGGCGACACCGACGCCTATTAATATTCATTTCATAAATTTCCACTCTTCGCATTCGCTGCTCGGTTGGTCAGATCCTGGTCAAGCAGCCATCGCTCAGCATTTGGGGCCTGCTGCCACTGGTGAACCTTCTCCCCTGCACAAGTGTCAAAGTCATGGCTCCGATGACGGGCTGAATGGCATCATCGCATCGTCGCATCGTCGCAGGGAACGCATGTTTAATGAACTGCGCTGCTGGCCGCCTTTTGTGCAGCCGCCGAGGAGCCTTGGCAGGCCCATTGGTTGGCCAGTGCTCGAGGGCAAGTGCGCCGAGCTCAAGTACTCAAACACTCACGTTACATGGCCAGGTGTACAGCTACCAGTTACCAGTTACCAGCTACCAGTTACCAGTTACCAGTTACCAGCTACATGCGATGGACGATGGAGGAAGGACGAAGGACCCAGGGCGACCGATGAAGACGACAAATGTGCGCCATTGCCAGGCAAGACATAAATCAGGAGATATCAGGCGTGTTGGCCACGAAGGCGAGCAGGAAATCAGGAGACGCTAAGCGTCGGCAAATGAGATCGGGCAGAGCAGCTCCTCCACCAGCCAAGCAGCCAAGAAGCCAAGAAGCCAAGATGTACAATTACAGATAAACCATATGAAGGCACGGCCAAAGAAGACTGATGCGATTTCCAGGGGACCTTCGTCCATGTGTCGACAGGAAAATGCCATCAAGGAGCGGGGGAAGGGGAAGGGGAAGGGGCAGCGGCGCAAACAGGAGAGCATTTCCCGCAGCGATAAGCAACAACCGCAGACGCGCGCGTCGGAAGTGGGGATGGTTGCTCCACCGGGGAGATTCCAGATCCTTTTCGCGGCAGGTGGGGCAGGTGGGTGAGGAGGTGGTTGTGGGTGACAGCGATGCCCGATGCCAGATGCCAGATGCCCGATGGCTGATAGTTGATAGTTGAGAGCCGAGAGCGATGGCTTCCTCGGAGGGGGAGGAGGGGCCGAGATTTGATTTCCGTTTCCGCCGCCTTGTTACGTGCTATCGCAACCAGGTGCCCACTTTCATTTGCATGCACACACGTCGCTGTATGTGTGGTGTGTATGTGTGTGTGTGTCTGTTTTTGGAGGCGTGTGTTTACTTATTTATATTGCAATTACGACTAAAATTACGCGCATTTGTCATACAAACATTTGGATTAATTTGCCCCGTCCCCCCGATCAAACAATCTCCCGCCAAGTTTCTATATCATTTTTGTCGCATCTTTGTGTTTCCGTGTCTCCATTTCTCTTCATGTTTCTCCGTTTCTCCATTTCTCGGCGCTCCATCGACGACTCCATCGACGACGGCCCATCGTCGCCACCATCAACAGAATCATCACGTAATTTTTCAATCAATACACGTGACCCGAATGGCATGATTGAGAATCATTTATTTCTGGGACACGACAAGTTCGAGTGCCTGGCAGCGGGATTTCGCATCAACGACACCAACGGACGGAGCCTCTTCTCCGTGAACCGCAATGAAGTCACAATCGGAGCGCACTCCCTTCGAATCGATGGCGAGGGCGGAGCGGTCTTCCGGGAGTCCGTGCAGACGCCGCACATCCGAGCGGAGCCAGGTCGCGAATTGAGGTAAGACTGTCCCGTCCACTATTCCCTTTTCCCTGCAACCTGTCCCCTGATCTGCCGTGGAAGGAACGCAGTGCATGCCAGTGCCAAAGCCATGGCCAATTAAAGTAAATGAAATCGAAAGCCAATCTACTGCAGCCACTCGCAGTCTGGTGTTGAAATTCAATGACTGTAATAAATTTCCAGGAATTCGTAGCTGGGCATCCAGCATCCATTCCAACAGCCAACAGCCGTGGCATGCAACCCACGCTGCTGTGGCAGCATATTAGTCGTTCTTGGGTTGGGGAAATCTGAGAAATAAAAAATTAAAAGCAAACACTCAGTTGCGTTCGTGCGCCTCTGTCAACGTCACCTTTTGCGGTAACAAAAACAACACTCCCCCCTCCAACGGAACAGTGGCCACAAAACAACGACGAATGGGACAAGTGGTGGTGGCCTGTGGCCCAGTGGTGCAGTGGTGCGTCCGCACCTGAACTGAACTGCAGTGAGGAGGTGTCGGTGGTATTCAGTTCAGTGAACGCGGACGGGGGGACTGAAAATATTTATACACATTTGTCAGAATGTATACAAACGTTGGCAGTGAATTAAAAAGCGCTAAAGGGGCCAGACCTTTTTTCCTCTTTGGCTAACGCCGGCCGGGAATCCGAGAGGGGATTCTCCCCCCTGACGACAGGGATTCGGATTGGGATTGGGATCGAGGGATAGGGATAGGGATTGGTGGGCTGGCTGCATTATGCCACACAAGTCCATCTATCCATGGGTTCTGCCACCACCCATCGTCCATCTGTCCACCACACACGCGGTGCACACGAACCATTAACAGGATCGGCGGCTTGTAATAACATTTTCATTGACAAATTTGGTGATAGCTGCCTGTTGGCTCATGGAAATTACAAATTGTCTGGCGCCAGATACACACGCAAATACATATTTCGGTTGACGAGCGCGCCGGCGATGTCAACGCCAGTCATATCGGCAATTCAAATTGAAATTGCAATGTTTTCAAGGCAGCATTTATGCGGCCCAGTGGCAAATGAGCGACTTTCCGTTTCATTAGGCACACGTTATAGCGTTCTGGGCAACAGGAGGATGCCATTCTGGACATCCGTTGATCTCCCATCTCCCGTTTTGGTGATTCGACCACTTTCATCCTGGGTTTAATTACAGACTCGAGTCGCCCACCCGCCAACTGCAGATGACGGCGGCCAAGGACATCAATTTGCAGTCCCGGGCAGGAGGCATTGAAGTGGTGGCCCTGGAAGACGTCAAGTTCCGAGCCCTCGATGGGAGCGTAAGTATGAATTGAAAGCACCGCAGCCATTCCGAATCCAGATCCGAATCAGTGGATCACCTGTTCTTCTCCGTGTTATGCTCTTATCGCTGCAGCTGCGACTGGAGTCCTCGAAGATCCTGATGCCCAACCTGCGGACGGCGCAGCCGCCCATTCTGGGCACCGCCCAGAGTCGGGACCACATGCACCGGGTCTTCCAGCTGTGCGCCTGCTCCAACGGCAAGCTCTTCCTGGCGGCCCCGCACTCCATTTGCGCCGGCGACGACTCGACCGTTTGCAGATGATCGCACGGCGGCACTCGGTGGCAGCAGTCCACATCCAAGTCCAAGTCCAACAGCGATTTACCAAGCGCAGGCGGTGTGGATTTCCAGTAGGGCGATCGATCGCTCGTTGCCACAACTATAGCCGCATGCACCACATATACCGCATACCGCATACATGTTGAATTACCCCCCATACGCTAACTGTAACATAGAGAGGTATACCTACACATTTAGTGGACACACACACTACGTACATCCCGCATTCAAAGTCCTTCTCGCACCCACAAACTGTCGAGGGAACTACTGTACCCGAACTCGATGAACAAAATCAAGAGCTTCTTAGACACTTGGATGTTGTGTACTAGTTTAACAAAGGCAATTCAGAGACATAGGCATATCCATCATAGACATATACGAATATCAGCAGAGTAACCTCCCAAGGGAGTGAATATAAACCCATACCAAACACATAAGATACTACCGAATCGAAGATATCCTTGTAGCTAAATTGGTGTAGACCCCCAGTGTAACTGTACTCTTCCCCTGTGAATGTGAATGTGTGCCTATCAAGATGGAATCCATTAGGAAGGATCAGAAATGCAGATCAGTTTTCATTTGAGAAACCTTAGCAAAAAACACAGCCGCCTTATAGCAAAACCATTATTATCAAAATAATAATTTTCTTTTGAACGCTGGTGATTTATTAATTTAAAATATTTCCCTTTTTTTTTTGACACCACAAAATCGTTTCAACATTAAGTGATTTAATTACAAAAAACCAGATCCATTTCCGCAGAGCAGTCCAGAGATATTGTACATAAGACTGTCTACTTCATAGAACTCGATATCTGCTTCGTACCATCGACCGACCGCAACACAAATGAAATCGGTTAAATCGAACCCGATCGACTGTATTAATGTAGATAACCCCGCAACGACTAATAAAATATATATAGAAATTGCTAACTACGATCAGAATATCCAAATCCGAGGCAGCACGCTGACATTAAACACAATACGAAGACAATGAAATATCATCCAATGAATCGCAAGAGCTATTTATACCTATATATCTATACATGTGTAATATTACAGATACAAGATACAAGATACAAATATAAAGCATAAACAATTACGAATATAAATATGAGTAAAGGATAAATAAATATGGGTAAATATGGATATAAATACGAATATGAATACAAATAGAGTTGAATATGAAATTGCCGTTGAATTTGTCAAGTGCGAGAACACTGATATATAGATATATGCGAATAAATAAATGTATATGTATCTGTATGTATGTAAACATAACGAAATGCTTTTAAAGGGGCGTTAAGATTAATTTGTTGTTGATTTTTTTTAGCACGATTAGGAAACCTAGTGTTTATATAGAATGTGTGGTGGGATGGAAGTACGAAGTCTTTATAACACATATATTGTAATACTTAAAGAGATACTTAAAGAGAAATACATGCGTAAACAGCAAACAAAAACAAACCACTGGAACAACTAAATCTATTGGCAATCAGATTCGAGAATGGGTTTTCAAGAAGATGTATTAGAACGTGAGATGGGAAAAAAAACCAACAACTCCTGTCCCTGCAATTGGTTGGACATACGGATTTTTAATTCGACGGCCGGGATTGTGCGCACTTTTTACGACAAAGCGCTCAAACGAGAACTCAAGCCGAATGCTCGTTGGTTAACGCCTTCTAGCCATCCAGCGCCACTTCCATCGAACCGTCGAGCGTTTGAAGTGCTTTTGTGGGTGCGTCTAAGCGCCGACGACTCCGCAGAGTGACGATGACAGGACTCCAGGACTCCAGGACTAAAGGACTACCAGGCGGCCACGCGGACTCAGGCCCCGCAGACTCAGACTCTGACTCAGGACTCAGAGATTTAGGCCCAGTTATGTGTGGTCGTGGTGTGGTCTTGACTTCGTTCTTGTTGGCCTCGTCGTCGTTGTGGGAGTTGCCGAGCCACGAGGCTACGACTGCACACGACGGCTCCTCGGGCGACTGCTAAATTGAGTTAGTCTCTGAGCCAAGGGCTTTGCTTTGAGCCGAAAAACGAAACGAGCTTGCCAGGTTGCGAGAACTCCGGGGAAGCTTTAGCCACCAGCAGCAGCAGTGAAAGTTGCCGCGCGCGCTCCTGCCAATTCGATTTTGAAAGCTTCTGGAGTTGCAACCGAGTCGAGTCCAAGTGCAGTTTTTCGTCCTCAATGGACTCGCCATGTCAATGGGTCCTGCATCATTTATGGCCTGCTTAGCAGCTGGCGGCCAGATTGAATGAATGCGCCAGCTTAACCCTCTCACTTTGTTCAACACTTTGGGCTCAAGTTTAGTCACCACAGCTCGCATCTGGCAACTTCAAGGACCAAGGACCCTCTGAACAGATCCATCCACTTTAGACAAAGGAGCCAAAGGAACCAAAAGGGCACGTGTGCCGCACTTGACGTTATATTTAGTATTCTATTAATATTCTAATAGGCGCTTTGGTACTTTTCCCCCTCATTGGTTGTCGCTCCGTTTTGTCAACCATCCGCCCCGTTGTACACTGGCTCTGTACAGGCTCTGTTCTCCTCGCACGCGGCTACGTAATCACATAAAATTTTCTAATTACCACACTAACAAACACACACACACACACACAGGCGAAACTGTCAGCTAGAAAGTTACTTTCGCGAGTCTTCCATTTGACACTGGGACGTTCCCTTTTGTCCTCCACACTTTCCCCACTTTCCCCGCTTTCCCCGCCTTCCCCACTCATGCGTTTCAGCCCTGAGCACATGCATAGTTTAAATTTCAATGCATAACTCAACTGCCGGGGGAAGTGGAGCTCCGCTTCGACCTGTCTTAAGCCGTCCTAAAATTAAAATGAAAACACCTTGTGGCGCCATATGTGAGCGGCCATAAATTCTGCAGGCCGCCGAGACCCGTCCGTTTTCCCCCTTTTCCCCCTCCCTCTCCCACTCCTCTTCTTACGGAACGTTAATGGCAAGCAGGCAGGCAGTCAATTGCCTCCCCCAAGGACGTATTCTCGAGGCAAAGGGCGGACGCAACAGTTAGTTAGTTAACGATATCTAAAATGGGTGTAAACCAGCGCCAAGCTGACAAATTAAGTATGCATGAAAGTGGCACACACACACACACACACACACACACACAAGCCATACAGACACACACACATGAACACACTTAAGCGTTCTTTTACGTTGCAGTTAATAGGATTTGGCTGGAGAGTGGAATCAAATTAATTGTTTCATTTGTTTACAAAACGCTCGAGTCATTGTTGTTGCAACAGTGTTGACAGCGCGACTCGAGTGTGTGAGTGTGCGAGTGTGCGTGTGTGCACGTTTCCACGGCAATGCGATGGTGTGGGTTAGCTTGGCTTGCTGTGGAGTGGAGTGGCGTGGAGTGGGGGCTCCACACTCGTGCAGCTCGGGTGTAGCAGGGATCTTCAGGTGCATGCCTTAACTGACGTTTAAGTGGGCAATTAGGCAAAGCTGTGTAATGTTTTCATCGTTAAGGACGTACGTGGCACAGCCAGCACGGAGTTCGTCCTCCGGCCGAACCGATGCAAGGTCGCATTTGGCATTGCCATCGACCCAGGTCACCTTTCGACTGCTCGACTCCCTTTTGATGTTCCGATGGCCCGAGTGGCAGCTCACTCACTCAATCGGACAGTCAGTGAGCCGTGCAGCTGCTGCTGGCCCGACCAGAAAGTGATTTGTGCACGAGGAGGACAAACCGCGATCCAATAGATTGATCTGGGGCTAACCACGCTGGCCCCGCCTTTGAGGAGTAAACCGAAGGAGTCTTATTTTCCAGGATGCAGGCGTACGAAGCGTACGTGGCCTCATCCATTTATTAAGTTATTAAATTACACACATCCCTGCACCTTATTTGCGTACTAAGTTGCATTACATTCGAGTTGGAAGGGAAGGGCTGGCAGAGCCTCTAGTGAGTGCCAGCTCCACCTGGATCCTTGTGGCAGGAACCCCTTGCGACGTGCGTGCATCAGGGCATCTGGGGAGTGGAAAGCCGAGGAATACTACACACTATATACTATACACACGTAGTCGCTGTCGGCATCGGCATCGGCATTTGCGTCTTATCTCTTCCTCGGTCCGAGCAACTAAACGAATTTATGTCGTAATGAATGTCAGTTGCCACATATCTGGCTGTCTATCTGCGCTTTATGCACAGTTCAGCACTTCTTTCCCTTCGGTCGGCTCGAGTTCCGCAGTTCCGCAGTTCCGCAGTTCCGCAGGCGGAGCAGCACATGGGAGGTCGGCTGTCTGTCCCGCAGGATCTTGATGCGGTTCGTGTTAGCCTTATTGGGTTTGTGGTGGGCATGGCTGTTCAGGGAAATTTAATAGTTATTCAAAGCATTCGGACAGACAGTCATTTGCAAAAGTGTTGCGCATATTCGCGGGCAGCTTATCGTCGAAAGTTTGGGAAAAATGATAAGCTGCAACTCCGACTAGTCCTGCAAAGCAATATATCCGAAGGATACCAGGCTTAGTACCGATTGTAGAGCTATTCGCAAGGAAATACCGAAAGCAAAGCAAGGGATTACCAGAACACATGTATGATTTTTACTTAAATTACGAGTACATCATTGGCAATCTTCAAAGGCTCCACATCCCATAATACATCCCATTAGAACATTTTCTGTATGAATTTTAAAGCCGAGTTTACAGTGTTTTCACAACCTGCATTTAGAATCTGTGTGGGCGGGATTCTGAGCAATCTTTGCATAATTTTTGTGGTTGCACTTAAAAAAAAAAGAGTAGTAAGGGTATCTGGACGGTGGCATTCATTAATTCGCACTCGACCTGTCCCTTTCCGCCTCCTTGCGCGTTTTTTACGAGCTGTTACCGGCGGTGCCCGCTATGCGCGAGTGCGTGTTAACAGGCAATTAAATCCAAATTACATTTTGCTCCTTTTCGCAGCCCCATCAGGTACACCCGAATGTCAGTGTGTGTGTGTGTGTGCAGGGAGGGGGAGGGGGGTAGTAAGTTCCTTCCAGGAGTTAAGCGGCAGGTGTGCCAAGCGCCACGCTGCTTGCTGCGATTTGGACTACAGTTCCCCAATGCCGATAAGGCTGTGCAAAGTTCGAGAAGCCAGTTGCCAGTTGCCATTTGCCAGTTGGCAGAACTTCCCAACTGGCCCACTGCTAAGTGTTCACTGTTCATGGGCTACACGTGCCAATTAAAGATAAATTTTAATTGCCGACAGAGAATGGAGATTTATGGCTTAGGCATTAACCAAGCAAATCGGATTCGTTTATCGGCTGGCTTTAATTGAATTGAACACACTCCCTCCTCTGCTACTGCTGCCCAGTAATCGAATTGCCAAATGGCCAACAATCAGCAATGTCAAAGGCGCTAGACCGCAAAAAGTTGGCCCAATTGAATTCGGGCAACTGGAATCGTTTCACAACTTGGCCAAAATGGAATCGAATGTGAATGGCGGAGCACGACGGTGGAGCCAAGGAGAAAATTGAGCTAAAATGCCCAAACTTGTGACTAAACGGTGAAACCCAGACTGTCAAATGGATTTTTTATGCCACTTCTGTGCACCTGAAAAAAAAACTTTTGTATAAAAAAAAAACGTAGCTTACTCTCTATATTTGTAGAACCCTTTAAGCATTTAGTATTTAAATATATAAATAAAGTTTCGTTTAAGCACATCAATTCCTGTTACAATATTACAAGAGAAGAGTGATCGTGATGAAAGCATTATCTAAGGGATATATCCTGCTTTCGCGGACAGTGTGGCATAGCAGCATTAATACGTATTTAAAACGGGCTTACCATATCACCACCATATCATTACTGAGGGCGCAAATGAAGCCATTTCTCCATTCAGCTTGAACTACTCCCTGCGAAAAGGAAAGGAGGTTGGAGTTGGAGGCTGCAAATGGGAGTCAATAGTGTGTGGGTGCGGGGTGCGTGTGTGTATGTGTGTGTGTGTGTGTGTGTGTGCAGTCCCAACTTAATCCTTTTGTGAACAAACATACGCTCTTTAGCCCGCTGACCGAGCACTGGGTCTGGTCCTCCTCCTCCTCCTCATCCCAAATGTAATTCTGAACCAAAACTGTGCTCGGCTCTGTTTCTGTTTGTGACTCGAGGGGGGCGGGGAGGGGGCGAAGAGGAGGTCACAAAAAGTGTGGCAAGCGGAAATCAAATGAAAAACTCGTGCGTCGCCCCAAAATAGCAGAGAAATAGTATAAAACAAAATAAAATAAACTTTGCCGAACGCATTTCTATTGTCAGCGGCACAGTCTTCGCCATCGTCGTGGCTTTCGGTGGGTGAAAAACTTTTCCCGGGGGGCCATTGTGGCGGTGTGCGGGTGCCCTGCCCGCCCGCCTTTTGTTTGTTGTTCTGCCGGCAGTAAGAGAGCGTTTGTTTTCTTTTCCCCTTTTATTACGTATTTCATTTTTTAGCTGTGGCAATGGCACAAGCAGCAGA